CAAGATCTTCATATTTTGATGTGATTAAAATAAGCTTTTTCTTAAAAAAAAGTTATAAAACTTTTAGTGGCTCTGATGATTTGAAAATATTGAAAACCAACACACCTATATATATATTTTAGAAAAAGGCGATTTGAATTTATTGTATAGAATCAGACAAAATGAAAATTTGGAAAGAGAAGAAAGGTAATTTTAAAGATTAAAGAATATATTGTTCCTTTAATTAGGGCTTGAAATATTTTTAATAAGGACTTTTGCAACTAAAATTATGTTTTATCAAATGTTATTTATTCCTGATAAACAATCAACTTCAAATTTATTGCCATCAAGAAATCTAATTATTGAATCAACAACAATCAATCAAAAGCTTGTATTGTTTTTGCGAGTTGGATTGATAGAAAATCCCCATCATATATTTCACACAGTGAAGTAATAGAATTATACTAATGCTGCTCAATTTATTAACTCTTTTGGTTGTGGTTGTGACATTGGTATTTGTTGGTAAAAATGTTAGTTTTTCATTGACCTGTAAGTGAATTCAATTAATTAGAAAAAATATTGTTTTTTAAAATAAATTTAGGGATGATCTTTTTTATGACCAGTCCTTTATATATAAATCATAATTATGCAAAGTGTAAATTAAAAAAATGTAAATAATTTTTTTACATGGTGTTTTAGATCACTCCAAACAACCGAAAATTGACAGCTTTGTCTAAGAGACTTTACCTTCAACTAAGGTTGTGAGCAAAACTCCTCCAGAAATCAATCAACAGAGTTACACATTAATTGTTAATTAGAGTTTCAGCAAAGTTTCGCATTTGGGGGTTTCGTCAATTGTCAGAGTTTTGACAAGGTATATACTAATTGTTCATTAGAGTTTCGACAGAGTTTTGACAGTCACTAAGAGGTTTCGGCAAGCAACCTTACCTTCAATTGGAAAATGTCCATCAAAATTAGATAGGCAAGCATTTAAAAAATTTGATTGGTCAAGGCTTCTCACAGGTGACACGAAGTTTTTTTTCCCAAAATGTCTTCATCTTTAGAAAATATCACAAATACTATTAGCAACCTTGTTAATTTTAACGAAGATGATCTACCATTAAAATATATAAGTAAACTTATAAACGATTTAACAAACTTGCTGAATAAATCTGACTTTTATGAT